ACATATTGACCGATATATACGGTATAAAGTAAATCTGAAGATTGAACATTTTTTAATAGGTGTATGCGAGATAGGTGTACCAACACCCGATTTTATCTACAATATTTTAGGCATTACTATATACTTTTAATTTCAACCGGATGTTTGAAAATCCTGATATTAGTTCTATGGGGGATAGGACAAGCTTTCACCCGATAATATCCATTTTAGGCACAAAGATACATTGTTAGGAAAAACTACGCTCACTCAATTTAATTAAGATATCTTACACTTCGGCCGATATATGGGGTATACAGTCGGCCGGAAGTTCGAAAATCGTTCTATAAGGTATATGGGGCCTACGGGGCCATATGGCATACATTAGTACAATATTCGTGCAAATTTTTATCCCGATGTATTAATTGGTGCTTGATTAGTATATTCGGATGGAATTTAAAGTTGTGTTATATGGGAAGTAGGCGTGTTTGTTGTTCGGTTTCGCCCNTCGTATCGGATCCAAGTTCTTGATGAATAGAAGTAGAGACCTCAAAAAAGGTGCTGGTATTTCTAGTAAAGCAAGCTCAATGTCAATTCCATGGATTCATTTCATTAATCCTTATACTATTTCGACCACCAGGAGGCTTGAATGACTCAACAAAAGATGGTCCGGTGGTTTTTACTTCAGTATTTCGCATTTAATTACTTGATTCAGCGGCAGTAGTATTATATTTTTCCGATTACTTCGGTATTTACCATAACATTATCTGCTTCAATTGCACCACCACCGACAAATTACTAACTGCTTCTCTTTACAGCACTATATAAGTATCTAAGGAAAAACAGTCTTTTGAAATACCGCCACTTTCTAGTATATATATATATTGCTGATTAGTCTTGTGAAGCGCCCGATTTTAATATTAATAAATATTTTGTTTTTACTGTTCATGCAAATTTCACCACTTCCTCTTACCAGACTCTTCTGAAAAATTAAAGAATATAAATTACTTTATTTACGAACCTTTCAACAGAAAAATCATTTAAACATTCTGAAAATTCGAATTTTTTTATAGTTAAAGAGATTTGGGTAGTGCTTTAAAATATACATTGGTATTCTTGTACCAACTATCAATCATTTTGAAATGCTTTCAACATTTTATTTTTAAGAAGCATCAACAGAAAGCACATAAGGCTCAAGGGTTAAATTTTAATTTATGTATTGTAGCTATCAAGTTACTTTTAATTTCAATAGCGATTTTGCAAATGTCTTTGTAATGTAGAATTTTTTAATGGTCCATGTAGGAGAATAGAAAACGAAGCGGTGTAGAAATTTTCCCAAAATATTACTACTAAACTCTTTAATAGAAAGATCTATGAAGACGCCTTCGTTTTTTTTGTGCAGACTCATATGTAGCACATTCAGCGCCCCATCGTTGCTATCACCGCTAGTTCGCCGATAGTGCCCATGTTCTTTCGAAGTTTCTTTTTTGATATTTAAGAGGATAGGAGCGTTCAAGAGTGGACCCTCAGACAGAGTGGAATACCTTGACATACTCATCAACCGCTCTGAGGGTAGAGCATTGAGGAATTCGTGTACTCAAAGTTCCTATATAGGTCTTCTATCTTGACGCACTGCGTCCAAGCCAAAACTAATATACCTAGAAGGACTGGTCAATAAGAACCTTCATTTTAATATCAGGGGTTCCTTTCAGACTTGAATACGATCAAGGACGATGGAGAATACTCTCTTTTAATAATAAATAGATCTTCACTATATAAAAATCATAAAAATTACTCACCTTTAGCAATTATGTCTCCGACCTCTCAGACCAAGCGCCTCAAGTTCGCATCCGAACTTGCAAAAGCGAAAGCGGCTTACGTTGTCGTCATGTGGAATATAGGTTGAAACCTGAAAGTGCGAGATTCTCACCAACTTCTTCAAACATACAAACATATGAAGTCTGCGGATCATCGTCCCTGACGTCTTTCGGTAGAATCTGGAGAACAACTTTCTCGAAACCATAGTTTATGACTCCTTTTGCGTGGTTAAGAGGATCGAGTGATTCCTTGTTTATGAGTATCAGCACTTGCCGATATGGTTTCTGAGTACTCTCTAACCTGATCACCCTCCAGTTGTGAGTTGGTAGAGAAGGATTGCAATAACGCAATATCTCTTCAATTTCGTCAGGACTAGAGGGCTCAGCTGGGAGCCAGACACGAGCACGAGGGCGGAGTGGAAGATCGTTTTTAATAATCGCCTCGATTCTTGCTCCTTTCCAAATTTCCCCCACTCTGGCTACAGCTTCCTTATAAATGGATGCCGACCGTTCGTCGGCACATCTGATAAGCTTGTGCAGTCCATGGTACCAACCGGCACTCTCACACGTCGGCGGTGGCCCAGGATTTCCACTGACCACCTTCATAAAAACCGCTGATATTGCCGCCGCTACCCGTTTCCACTCCTCCCGGGAAATGATTCCATCTTCTCTGCTGCGGTCAAAAACACAAAGTTCTATTGGACCGAAGTGTTTTGCGTTTTCGTTAAACGTTAATGCCGCTCCTGTCCGTGCCTTTTTGCTGAGGGATGCTTCCCCCTTATGCAACCTCTGCCGCTTTACCACAGACTGAGCCTCTCTCGATCCTGTTCGCTTGGTTTCTCCACCGCTCAGTACCCGTTTAGCCCACTCCAGTGTGCTAGCATGCCGCTCAGAATCTTGCTCAGTGTTTTTGCCCCCATAGCGCAGTAAAATCTTAGTTGCCATGCGACGATCCGACCTCAGCTTTCTAGCTGCTGACACGTATTTCTTACCAGTACCCTTAGCGTTTGCTGAGGTTCGCGAACTACTAGTAGTCGTAGCAGATTTTCTTCTGCTCCTGCTGACGATTTCGTCTCGCACCTTAACTTTACTTGGATTACTTGTGGGCAAGCTCCAGTTTACTCCCGTTGAATTACCGCCTCCTGCGGGAAGTAGCCACGTTTCTGTGGAGATACTTGCATTACCTCTTGTGTAGAACGGTTCCGTCCGCATAGGTAATGACAGCCATCCTGAGACATTGTCTAATTTTGAATAGGTTGGTTCCCACCTACCTTCTCCCTCGTCCATTTGTTTTGAGTTTTTAGTATTCATGTTTCATGGGTCCCCACTCAGAGCCGCTATCCACTTCCCAGAAAGGTAGTCGCTTTTGATGGTCCCAAGGTTATCTCATTTACGAGGCCAAGGCGAGGGTTGACGCATGCCCTTATGAAGCTATGCGTTCAGAGCCGACCAGCGTAAAGAGGGAGTCATCTCAACCTGCACCTACCACACCAACTTAATGATGACGGGAAAGGAACGTACTCTGAGGCCTGCCAGGGTTTTAACGGGACGGAGGCAGCCTCAGCATTAGCCCGCCAGCCATTTCTGCAGGGTGTCACCCCTACATACTGAAGTAACGGAATACTTCGGCCACCAGCCCAGGATTCAACCAGATCCAATAAAAGTCATCATATGCAAAGTCCATGTCATTCCAGGGTTAAATATCCGTAGTAGTCTAACAGGCCGTGAAGGCCGCAGGTCATTTAGCGTTACCCAGAATGCACCGCGTGGAGGCGACCTGCCTTACATTCCACTGTACATAAGCAAATAGGCGGAGAGGTTTTTTTTTTATAAAAACCCCAATTTCAAAATATGATTTACTGCTATACATTTATTCTGTGCCTGGACTGTTTTTGATGATCAATAGTTAAGTTGTTAGCAAACCTGCATATGTTAAATTATATTCGCACGCACTAATACAAACAACTTAACATAACCATTTGCAGAGTTTTCCTTCTTCAAACAAAACTCCTCACACCCTTACATGTTTATGTAATCGTATATTAACTGTAGAAAGCATCCCGGAAGGTTCTGGCTCGAACAATTGATCCCATATGTGACTTCTGTCTTTTGGGTATATACTCGTATAGACAAACAAACCTAAAAAGAAGTAAAATAATAACTTAAATAGTTAAAAATGTGTTGCACAAACTTTTTCTTTTGAACTCATTAATGAGAGAAATGCTCAATCCAAATAATTTATTTTTTTTGTCTTAAAAAAGTAGAAAAACATACATTTTAATTTAAGAGAGAAATTTTGTATGTGAGAATGAATTTTTAATTCATCCAACATATTAGAAAATAGTTAGAATTTGGGGTGTTGGAGGACTTTGGTTTTTGGTACAGCTTATTGCCAAATTTCAACATATTAATACTCGTATCATATATTATTTAGCAGTAATTTTTCCGCTTAACTACTAGAGCAAGTATCTCCACAGAAACGTTTAAACATTTTGCCGAGAATAATGATTTAGAGTCTTCTTAAATTCTAAGCATCAATTTCAAAGACATTTCTTTGCTTGCATTTTAATAAGTTTTCATGTTACATTGTTTAAGCATAATTATGAATTTTGATTTATTTTGACTTAACGACTTTTAATGGCTGAGCGTAACTCGTATGTGTACAGAGTATGTACTTCTCGAAACCAAGTTTTTGAGATACTAGTGTGGGTATTGAAGTGAAACATTACATTGACCAAAAAATGTGTTTGGCACTCCATATGCGCTGGTATTGTGTTAGTATATAATATTCAACCTTAAGGAAAAACACGTTCCTCTAAATACGTACATACTTTACATACACATTTATATGTCTTATAGTTTTTGTGCTGTTTGTGGTAAGTACATATATTTTTAGAGAATGCCGTTTAAATGCGTCTGATTCTATAAAAAAAGGCCTATTTGGACTACTTTGATTAAGATGGAAAATTTTCTTTTGGGTCAACAAGGAGGATATACCAAATATCCCTGTTTAATGTGCTTAAGCCGTGATGATATAGCAGAGTCAAGACAAAATACTGAACTAAAAACATTTGGCCGCATTATATAACCCCCTCATCATACAAAGTTAGGTCTGATAAAAGAATTTTTAAAAGTTTTAAACAAGGATTAGGAATGTTTTAAAAATATCGTAAAATATTTTCGAAATTGAGCACAGAAAAAACTAAAGCAGGTATTTTTGACGGCCCTCAAATCAGGGAACTAATAAAGGACTACCATTTTAGTGATTGTATAACAGATAAGGAGATTATATGATTGAATTTATTTGGGTTGTTCAAAATTTCGTCGAAAATAAATCAAGTTGATTGCAGCCTACGTCACGGCTGTCAATTTAAATCAGTTTTGACAAGTAGATCAACTTGAAAGCAAGTTCTTGATCGTGTAACTACATACGCAAAACCAATATTTGAATCAGCTGTTTGCTAATGTGACAAAACTTGTAAATGAATAAATTTGAAGCCAATTCCATTTTAGTTTAGAAAAAGTTCCGCTATTTTAGCTTTTATTTTATTTAAAGAAGAACGTAATGAAAAAAAATAAAATTAAGATATTAAGAGATAACATCCACTTGATGGACCAGGGGAATAGTAATGAAATTTTGCTTGCATTTTCTTGTACGAGCTTGTATGTACTACATACATGCTTACTTAAAAGATTTATATCACATTATCGACATCGAGATAATTTAATTTGTAAAAATAAAATAAATTAATTTATCTTAGCTTACATTTAAATCTGTCAGCGACTATATTCTTGCTTTATTACAAAGGCGATAAAATTGCTTTCCGTGGCACCCAAAACCGAATTTTATCGGCTTCAATTCTGACAACTATCAGATTCGACAACACCCCTATATACAAGTATTTACACACTTTAGTCATTCGTCAACTAGTGCCAAAAACTAGTCGATTGTGCGTAAAGTGCGACAAATCAATAAAGACGCGGATGGCCAATTACATTCTTATCATAGATAAAATGATCCGAACCTCCTCTCTTTGCCTTCTGAGAGAGCTCATGAACTTTCAGTGCTGCCAAGAAAAACCTCGAGTTCATGAGATGAACAGATGACAAACAAAACAATGAACTACCACTAAGAATCCCGCAGAAATAAATTGAGAAATCAGTGGGTAATTTGTGATATCAGATTTTTTGTTGACTTTTATATACTTATTTTGGTTAGAACTCCCAGCAAATGTTATGTAAACTTTGACTTTCGAATAAATTATCAAAAGATATTTGTTAATTGAGTATATAAAAAAGAAATAAAGATCATGTTTAGGTTATTTAAAACTTGTGTGTTTTGAAATATTAAAATATTTTGTTAAATTTAGTTATAAACGTTAATTTTGAAAATCTTTTGTGATTAAAATATACATGTACTTATATTTAGAAGTCATATAGGATATCTAGCTTGTGAAACTAATTTTAATTATGTACATTTTTCTGTTAAATGGAAACCGAAAAATACCCAAGAAATACATTTAAAAATCTCAAAACTTATTTCTTTGCTTAATGGCACCACTGTCAAATGTTATAAAAAATATGGACTTTGACAGCGCTCTCTCAAATCAAAGAAGTGTGGATCATTTAATCCTTGATTCTTATGTTTAATTTGGAATTCACAGACCCTTCATTCATTTTACATTATATAGTGCAAAAATAGCTTTATATCAATATTTAAATCATTGTTCAATTCTATTAATTCTGAAAGTTTTATAAATTCTTTCCATATGACAATTGTAATAAAATGCATTGAATTTGTACAAGATGACACACACACTTGGCCACACATTTCGTTTTCAATTTAATTGCTGCCGCTTAAAATCGACGCATGTGGCTTTTTGTGGATACTGTTCAAGTTAAATCACTCATCAGTTATTCCATACTAAACACTCACATTTGTGAATTCTTAACTTTTTGTATTTTCACAGCACACGAAACGAAAAATCAAACAAAAAAGTCACAGTTATAAAATCGACAAACGTCACCACCTCGAAACATATGTTTTAGACAGCACAGCACAACTATTTCTATTCAGCACCGGCGTAACGAAGAAGAGAAGAACCCCAAGACGCTACATTCACTGTTCTACCTGAGAAACTCACCACCGCAAGTTGGCAAAATATACTCAATATTTAGGAGGATGAGAATAACTGCGAAACGAAATATACTCACTATTTAGGGGAGAGAATGTGGTTACCGCTCAGTAATGGAAAGTACGCATAATCGTGTATTTTCCGCCCTTTTTAATGCAGTCCGCACTTTGCACACAATCGACTACTTTTTAGCACTATTTGATGAAATACGAAAATATGTACATAGGTATTTTTATTTGCGACTTAAAGAATACGATATTTTTAAAACTATACAGTATGATAGCACATACACAATTTTTAATTTTAGTAAAATTAATTTTGAGGAAACTAAAATATGCGTTGACAAATAGAAAAGCGGAAATTGTGTATTCTTAGCAGATTGGATAGATAAATGTAAAATTGTGGGCATTTCTACAGTGTGGTTCTATAATAAAGATCCAATGAATATATCGGTAGATAATTCTTTTCTGATAATAGTATGCCTGTATGTGCAAAATGGGTTGAAATGAGCATGGCACTAGTCTTATAGTACCAAGTAATATATGTACCAAGTATCGCTTGCACAGGCAGACGAATAGACACCCGGACCCAGACTTCAGTTCGGCTCGTTCCTCTTAATTTACATATATGTACACTAGGCGAGCGAGCGAAGCGAGCGTCCCGCAGCGCCCCCCGCCGAGCGCGAGCTAGCTAGCTCTTATGTTAGTTGATTCTCGACAGCAGCAGAAAACTTTTATATATAAGATAGAGAGATAACCATATACTTGTATCTACCTCGATTAGTTTTAGGTAATACAAACAACCGAATATATGAACCTCAATGACAATAGCTTATTTTTTAATTGTCAACAGAGTATATTAAGTTTGCCATGAAGATTGTAAAATATTAAACGCTAAACCGCATAATTTAAAAGATACTTGTCCACTTAATTTCATTAAAATTTCACACATTTTTACCAACCTATACTGCTTAAAGATAGATGAAAAGTTGGAAATCACTATATATAGTATATTGGGGGCTGAAAAGGTCTGAGCTGATTACACTAACTTTTGACATTGCCCAAATATACTTGAGAACATATTTTCAATCAATTTCATAAATATACATACTTATATGTAAGTATGTAACTCACACTCTGACTGACGTATTCGACATAAGGTTTGTTAGAATAAAATATAACATCACTATGTGTGTTATATGGGAGTTGGAGTAATTCGTCGACCAATTTGACATATTTTTGGCTGAAAAGTATCGTAGGCCTACAAAGCTTTTGTTGTAAGTTTAAGTGAAGTTGCAGCAACGATAAAATACAAAGGGCCGAGTAATGACGCTATGTGTGGTCAGCTATTAGACTAACTTTATTTGCAAAATTCTTTCTTTAAATAATATTCTAAGCAATCTTTCAATACCGCTAAATAAATAGTATAGTTTTGTATTAGTGCATATAAACATAAGTATGTAAGTTATATACCTTTAACAGTTCATAAAAGAAGAATAACCCAAGTACATACTTTACGATATTGCTCCTTCGTATATAATGTAATTATTATTAAACAAGTAAGGAAGGGCTAAGTTCGGATGTAACCGAACATTTTATACTCTCGCAAAGGCAAATAGTATACTCGGTAGAAGGTCAACTATAGGCTCTGGGGTCCACATATTTAGTACTTAGGGGCTTAAACAGTTTTGGTTCGATTTAGACAATTTTTGGCCACAAGGTCGCATACTTTAATCGCATTATTCACGCAAAGTTTTATCCCGATACAGTCATTGTTGCCTGATTTGCATAGTGGAAAGTGAAAGAATCAGATGGAATTTAAAATGGTGTTATATGGGAAGTAGGCCTGTTTGTAGTCCGATTTTCGCACTATGACATAGTAACATGAAAAGAACGTTATGCACCGAATTTGGTTGAAATCCTATAAACCTATTAGAGGCGGGACCACGCCCACTTAAAAAAAAATTTAACTGCAGATGCCCCTCCCTAATGTGATTCTGTGTACCAAATAACAGTCTTGTATCTTATTGCGGAGCTTAGTTATGGCAATTTATTTGATTTTGATTAATTTTTCAAAATATTTCTATTATTCTATGCATACATATTTGCATATTACATACAAAAAATCGATAACAGAATTCAAATTTGTGAACGAATTCATTTGAAACCGAGCGCTCTTGCAACCGTTCAAAGAATTTGAAAGTGAAAAGGGTAGCAGCGAGCTGTTACGAACAAGAACACAAAGCGTGCCACCTCGCCCACAATAAACCGGTTTGGGTTACAAAAGAGTCTGTGTGTAAAAGCACAGTTATTTAGCTTAATACATGTTAAATGGCTAAATATTCATATAATTGCGTGCACGAAAACATAGCCATAGCATAAGTGTATAAAGCAAGCGCAAGCAAGCAAGCTAATAATAATGTACACAATGCAAATACAATTATTAACTGCATTGAGTTGAATGACTTCTAATGATTGCCCTCGAATATTAAGCAAATAAATAGAGAACAAGAAATAGCAAAAAATATATTAGAACATATGACCGTATAATGCAGTGGCTCACAATCGATGACCCAACAACTATAGTATATTCAACACTATACGTTCAGGAAATTTTGCTAAGATGTCTTACATATTGACCCATATACAGCCAAATATATAGCCAAATGACAGTTAGAAAGTCTTTATATTGCGTATATAGGGCTAAGGGAATTATTTGATACATGTCAACCCATTTTTGACATACAGGCATACTATTATCAGAAAAGAATTCTCTCGCGATACATTCATCGGTCCTTCATTTGTATACTGGAGAGTGAAAGAATCAAATGGAAATAAAAAATCTACTATATGAGAAGTAGGCGTAGTACTCTGTGGCAACATGTAGCAAGGGTATACAAATAATGCGTGCACTGTAGAAATGCCCACAATTTTACATTTATCTATCCAATCTGCTAAGAATACACAATTTCCGTTTTTCTATTTGTCAACGCATATTTTAGTTTCCTCAAAGTTAATTTTACTAATATTAAAAATTGTGTATGTGCTATCATACTGTATAGTTTTAAAAATGTCGCAAATAAAAATACCAAAAGAGAGATCGAACTTAGTCGATTGTCGTAAGTGCGAACAATTCAATAAAGACGCGGATGGCCAATTACATTCTTATCATAGATAAATGATCCGAACCTCCTCTCTTTGCCTTCTGAGGACTCATGAACTTTCAGTGCGTGCCAAAACCTCGAGTTCATGAGATGAACAGATGACAAACAACATAACTACCTAAGAATCCCGCAGAAATAATTGAGAAATCAGTGGTGTTTTGTGAATTCAGATTTTTTGTTGACTTTTATATACTTATTTTGGTTAGAACTCCCAGCAAATGTTATGTAAACTTTGACTTTCGAATAAATATCAAAAGATATTTGTTAATTGAGTATTAAAAAGAAATAAAGATCATGTTTAGGTTATTAAACTTGTGTGTTTGAAATATTAAAATATTTTGTTAAATTTAGTTAATAACGTTAATTTTGAAAATCTTTTGTGATTAAAATAACATGTACTTATATTTAGAAGTCATATAGGATATCTAGCTTGTGAAACTAATTTTAATTATGTACATTTTTCTGTTAAATGGAAACCGAAAAATACCCAAGAAATACATTAAAAATCTCAAAACTTATTTCTTTGCTTAATGGCACACTGTCAAATGTTATAAAAAATATGGACTTTGACAGCGCTCTCTCAAATCAAAGAAGTGTGGATCATTTAATCCTTGATTTTATGTTTAATTTGGAATTCACAGACCCTTCATTCTTTTTACATTATATGTGCAAAATAGCTTTATATCAATATTTAAATCATGTTCAATTCTATTAATTCTGAAAGTTTTATAAATCTTTCCATATGACAATTGTAATAAAATGCATTGAATTTGTACAAGATGACACACACACTTGGCCACACATTTCGTTTTCAAATTTAATTGCTGCCGCTTAAAATCGACGCATGTGGCTTTTTGTGGAACTGTTCAAGTTTAAATCACTCATCAGTTATTCCATACTAAACACTCACATTTGTGAATTCTTAACTTTTGTATTTTCACAGCACACGAAACGAAAAATAAACAAAAAGTCACAGTTAATAAAATCGACAAACTCACCACCTCGAAACAATGCAAATCATTGACTTGTTTTAGACAGCACAGCACAACTATTTCTATTCAGCACCGGCGTAACGAAGAAGAGAAGAACCCCAAGACGCTACATTCACTGTTCTACCTGAGAAACTCACCACCGCAAGTTGGCAAAATATACTCAATATTTAGGAGGATGAGAATAACTGCAAAACGAAATATACTCACTATTTAGGGGAGAGAATGTGGTTACCGCTCAGTAATGGAAAGTACGCTAATCGTGTATTTTCCGCCCTTTTTAATGCAGTCCGCACTTTACACACAATCGACTACTTTTTAGCACTATTTGATGAAATACGAAAATATGTACATA